GTTGCTAATACTTTTACTTTGCAGGTACTTTTTTTACTTTGTCTTTGGTTATCTTGAGTTGTAAACCGCAAACATGTAACTGTATATATTGCTCTACACCCTTTAGTGAAGTATTTGTTGCAGTTTCTCTTATTGTATGTACCGACGACTTACGTTTTTTATATGATACAAACGTAAAGTCGGTTTCTGTTCCTAACTTGATTTGTCTTTCCTCTCCATTATTTTTTTAAATTTCAGCAGCTTGGGAATTACGAAATGTTATATCAGAGTATTTAGGTTTAATTATTTTGTTCTCCGGTCATTGAACTTTCTCATTTTTTTCATTTTTTGTTTTTTTAAATTGGTGTTTATCAGCCGTATATCTCCATCTGTTGGATTCATTTTCGAATTTGATACAGTTTTCTGCCTCTCTGTTTGTTCCTTTAATAATTTTATCTCATTCGTTAGGATTTTGTTTTCAATTTGCATCTTTTTTATTTCGTCTTTAAATGACGTAATTATTTTTTCCGTCATACGATTTATTTATTTTATCAAGATTGTAATGTTCCAATTTTAACTCACTTTCATTTCCCTTTGAGGTTAGTTCTTCTTCACGAACATTGCAGGTCCAGGATTTGATTGATCCGTCCTCCCTCATCTTTGTGCGATAATTCTTAAGACACTTGCCTCTACAAGCAATATAGTCGTCATAATGACCAATGGTTTTTGAACACAGCACACCTCCAATCGCCATTTTTACGATTTGTAACAGAAACAACCTAAGTTGGCAACCTATGTTCTTTCAGCAGTAAACAGCTGTGGCGACCTGGCTGTAATTCGGTAACAGTTATCAGCACATAACTTCTTTCAGCACCAAACAACGGGGAATGGTCGAAACTGTATGTTTACATGGATAACTCAAAATGGCCAAAAAATGACTTACAATTAGAGCCGGTTGTACAATATGCCGATAAACTTCCCGATAGCGTTATCTGGCCGATAAGTTAGTTTGTACTGTATTACAATGTACGGATATTTTTTGTCGGGGAGATTATCGACAGGATAACTTATCGGGTACTCAGAGGTGCCGATAAGACAGTTATCCGCCAGATATGTATATGTACAAACCTTGTCTGTCGTGAAAAAGTTTGGTTAGTTTGTTATTATGGAAGGGAAAAAAATAAACGTGCTACTAATTATACACAAGAGGAGTGTTGGCGATTAATTGAAATAGTAGAAAATCTAGCAAATATTATAGAAAATAAAAAAACAGATGCGGTTACTTGGAAAGAGAAGGTATGTAAGCTTTATTAACCAATATATTATCACTTGGTAGTTATTTATCACATATATTGTATTTTAGAAAGCGACGTGGCAAAAGATTTGTCAAACTTTTAATTCAACCGGCACGACAAACCGTACCTGGGAACAGCTTCGCAGTAAATACGAAACATTAAAAAAAGGGGCTCGTCAAGCCGTTGCGAAATACCGCACTGATGTGATGGGTACTGGTGGAGGACCATGTGAAGAAAAATTAAACCCGTTACATGAAAGAATTAGAAATTTGATAAAACTAAGCTGCGATGGAACACCATCACAATTTGATAGTGATTGTTTAGGTTAATTATTTACCAATTTTATAATATATGTGTTTAACTCTGTTTATGAGAAATGCATGTTTAATCTTAACTGTTAATTCTTTTATATCAGATGTCCAAGACGAACTGCAGAGCACAAGTTCCATAGACAAACGTTTAAAACGTGATGAAGCTTTTATAAGCCCTAGCACATCCGTTATAATAGGTATTTTTATTTGAAATATTACTGTAGAGCTTACATAACGCTATGATCATTTCTTTTAGATACAGAACAAATTGAAACCAAAAACCCATCAATTTATCCATACTCCAATACGCAAGGGGTAATAATTTTTAATATTTTTGCATATGTAGATATTGTTAAATAATAATAATAATTAAATAATAATTGGTTCTAGTTATAGATGCAGATGACATTGTGGAAGGAAGTAATAATTGGAGTCATTACTCTCCTGCCCAATTAAAAAAGGCCAAACATCCGGCTTTGCAAACCAGAAAAGGAAAAAGACCTAGTAAAAAGATGAATCTTTCTGCTGCTGGGCAAAAAATTCAGCCTTGGCTAGACGCTAAAGCTGATCTAACAAACTTAAAACTGAAATTATTACAAGAAGAATTCAATGTCAAACAACAACGCGAAAAAGAACTGCATGAACAACAATGTCAAATTAACAAACAACTAATAGAAATAAATAACTTGACTATTAAAAAAACTTTACTAGATATAGAAAAGATTTTGAATGTTTAAAGTAAATTATATCACCTTTATCGTTCAAAATTCGTTGAAATAATAATAATAATATGATTCTCTAATACTACAAGTTTTAATTCATTCATGCATAACAATTGTGAAAAGTATTGAATAAACTCAGAACGGGCTGTGTAATTATTATTGTCTGGATTGCCACCATAAGCGTATCCATCTGGAACGTTTCCTTCTTGAATGCCTTCTAAAATGTTATTACGTATTTGTGGATCTAATGGCGGCTCATCTTCGCCATTTAATATATATATAATTTAATTTCACTCGATAATATGGGAAATCGTCGTTTCCATACACCGTAGCTACGTTCAACAGAATTTCTTGTGCGAAGCAAAGCCTCTTGAAATAAATTTTCTTGTGGTAACGTAGGGTTTGGCAACGGCGTAATTAAGTAGCGTGCTAATCTGTAGCCACTGTCGCCCAATAATACTTTATTTTGGAAGTCGCCTCGCTCAAACCTGGCTTTTATGACAGAAGAATTGAAAATGGTTTGATCGTGGCTTGAACCAGGCCATCGAGCCATTATGTCTCTTATACATAGATTGGCTTCGCAAATTGTTTGCACATTAAACGAATAATATCCTTTCCTATTTCTAAAATTTTCCGCATGATCACCACCTAAAAATACATAGTACTTACTGACACATTAAAAGCAAATAGCAATAATTCATACCAGGTGACTGAATCTTGATATGTGTGCAATCAATTGTTCCTATAACCTTAAGAAATCTTGCAATTGCATAAAATTCCTCACATATTCTATCTATTTCCTGGTGATCTTGCGGAAAGTAAATAAATTCGTTTTTGAGACTGGAAATTGCTTCAGAAACCTTCTTTATAATTCTACTTGCGGTTGACTTGTGTATACCACAAAAATCTCCGACAACAATGAGCATACTCCCGGTAGCAAAAAAACGAAGCGTCAGTAACAACTGATTTAAAGGGGTTACAGCTGCATTTCTATAATACACAAAAAATATAGTATTTATAAACTTTGGTATTGAATTCAGTTATAGATTTTCTACCAATTTTTCCTTACCTGTCTGTGGGAGTTTCCATGCTATCCACAATTCGACCTAATAGGTACATAACACTTTTTTTTGTTAACCGAAACCGTTTAAAAAAATCCGTTTCATCCCACTGCGCCATGTGGTTAGGTCGTTCTTTAATTTCTTTTTCTTTTCTTTTATTTAAAAACACATTAATTAAAAATTCGTTTTTGGACTCACTGCTGGTACTAGTATCGTACAAATTAAACATTTTTCGATATTTTTCAAAACGCTAATTGCACAATTTACACAATTGTTATTATTGTCAAAATCAGTTCAAATTTCAAAGAAAGACGTTAGCGTTACCAATGTACGGATCAAATTACTAGATCTGGGAAAAAAGTACTACCAACAGAGTCTTATTTAGCCGATAGCAATCCTCCCGACAAAAACAGTTTGTACAACAGCGAATATCTTTATCCTCCCGATAAGTTTATCGGCCGGATACTTATCAGACAGATTTATCGGTATATTGTACAACCGGCCCTTAGGTTGTTTCAGCAATAAGCGATTCAATTGTTCTTTTTTGTTCTTTCGCCAAGATATTTAATTTAAGAGATTGTAATTTCTTTCAACAAACACCTTTTGAAATTTGAAAATGCACAAAATGAAGATCTTTCTGTACTTTATAAGAAACCAGTAACACAATATTAGAAAATACTTCGCTGAATAATGAGGGAAGATGCGGTCTTAGTGGCGTTCCGAATGATGGTCCTGTTGGTGGAACTCAACCCCTTTTCTTTGTTTTGTCTCCGTCAAGGTTGTTCAAATTTACCTAGATGTTTGAGTTGATTTACTATTTCATTTACTTTCTTTGAAATACCCAATTTATTGACCTTTTCTTCTGCTTGGTTCGTCATCTTATGTTTTCCATTCTTAATAAAACCCTTAATAATTAATGCATTGCTTAAACTTATTGAAGTATTGAACTTCTTGAAAGTGATCATAAAAACGTCATAAAGTTTTATCTGCGTCAAACCTGTTTCAATCATTCTTTTATAACTTCATAAAATGTAATCTCACAATTTTAAAAAGTTTGGGAAAATTAATTTACTATTTTGGAGAAAAAATATGTCCAGACAACGTTGATAATCATCACTTAACTTAATATTTGCTAGAAATAACAAAAAATATCGTAACTTCAATAAAATTATTTTGAACATACATAACAATTGAAATTGATTTATTTTCATAATGTTTCTTATAAATAATAGAATTTAAAATATCAATAAATGAAAAAAAATGATAAAATAAACTTTCTCGTAATATGTGTGTAAGAAATGTCGTAACATCAACTCATAACACAAATAAACAGAAATATCAGTAATGACTCGGAGACATTGCCTGTGGTTAAAAAGAATCTTAACTTTGAAATCGAAGAAGAATCGGGGTTAACCGCATCCTTTTAATCTTACGTTGGGTAATTCCGAACTTTGCCTTTTTTTCTGCTCCGCTTTAATTCTAGGTCGATATGGCGTAAGAAGATTGGCAGCGAGCGCGAAATGAAGATCTTTGCAAGTTCGATCTTTCTTCAACCCGCGTCCACAATTTGAGAGTTTTGAATCGAAGTGGCGGAACGGCGAAGATATATAAATACCGATTTCTCGACACGTGCACGTTTAAAACTACAAGTGCATTTGTCAAGAAAAGAGTTCTTCATTCGAGCGAAACCATAAGAAGAAGCGAGATTTAGAAAGATCTATTCGCAAAAATGAGGACGCTATTGGTGAGTTATAACTTTTAACCTTTCACCTCGCAGAAGAGAAATCGTTATGTAACTCGTTAGAAAATTTTTTTTGGGGGGACTTGATATAATACTTTCTTTTTTAACGTGCATTATTGTCAATATTGTTTAAATTAATTCATTTTTAATTTATTGTTTGTGTAGATTACCTTATTATTTATTGGAAGCACAATATGTGCACCTCAACGACGACAAGATCATTACAAAGATGACGAATACGATCGTCCTCAACAGCCACAACAATCCCAACAATATCAACAGCAACAATTCGAACCAAGACCTAAAGGTGAAACGACTACTTTCATTCCTATTATTAGATTCGAAAAGGAGCAAGGAGATGATGGCGCTTACAAAACAACGTTAGTTTTAATTGTTCTTCTTTAAAAATTATATTCATTTAATTTTTTTTAGTTGGGAAACTGGTAATAACATTTTAGCTCAAGAAGAAGGTTACTTGAAAAGTTTAGGTCCGGATCCGGATTCACCGGAAGGGGCTCCTTTGAACGCCCAAGTACAACAAGGATCGTATACTTATACATCACCCGAAGGACAAGTTATTACGGTGACCTACACCGCCGATGAGAAAGGATTCCACGCTGTCGGCGATCATTTACCAACACCACCTCCGGTTAGTCCTGAAGTGCAAAAAGGATTGGATCTAATTTATGCTGCAATTAAAGCGCAACAGGTGAGTTAAATGAAAAACAAAGTTCAAACCATAAACATACCGTTATGTAAGTTCATCCTCTAATTGTTGATTCAATTTAAATTTTTTACATAAACATTTTCTCATATTGCTCACTCTTCAATGGTATTTTTTATTTGCATTTACGTAATCGAATTCGCAATACGGTGACCTTTCGGGTAAGCAGAGATCTTCGTCGGTGTGTTCCTCTGACATATAAAGACGAAGAGTCGACTGGAATCTCCATGACTACTTTCGAACTTTTACGTAATCTTCGATCGTCGTGAAAAACGAACGTGATTGTAAAGTTAATACGCCCACAATTGCTTAAATCATCCTATAAGAATTCGAAAACAAGAATCATCACTTTCGAATTTCAAAATATCAAAGATACAATAATTGATAAAGTGAAATTATTTAATTTATATTTAAAATTGAGATTATTTTTGAGTTTTTATTTCTATTTTAGGAACAAGCTGCTGTTGAAGATAAGCATAATCCTCAAGGCAGAAGAGAAAATCAAATTAACAACGACTTCAATGGACAATATAGACAAAAATAATTTAATCTGATGAATGTATGAATATTCAGGGTGAAATGAACTTATCGTAGACTGAAGTTAAGAAAGTTATATTTATCTAGATACAAATAAATGATTTTGTAATTTAACAACCCTATAATACGTCGTTTTTTTAAAGTTTAGTTAGTGCAGCAATAAATCATTTTGACAAGTACTTAAAAAAATATTTTTAAAAAAAAGGTGTACTCTCTGGCGATATAACACAAGGAAAATTATTAATTATTGGAGTAATGGCTATAATAATAAATTCGATATTTTAATTCTTTGCCATTATCAATTATTTTAAATGAGTTGCAGCATATATTCAGATTTTTAACTTCTTCCTGTAATGGTTTTACATCATAATGAAAAGAAATGGTCTATATAGCAACAACAGTTCATTCACGTTTGAAATTCTAACTTCCGCTATAAACAGTTCTTATCAAGACGGTTCTGGAACAAAACCATGTTTTGATCTGCATTCATGATATGTTTGAAGGCCATGTGTAGTATCAACAGTTCCGTTTTCATTAATATTTCGTACAACGAACGGCCACAAAAATAGTCTTAATAATTTATATGATTGAGCTGTTTTCTACATGAATTGTTCCTCCAAGTTTAAATTCTGTTTGTTTAACGTTAGGTTTATATCTTTATCGTTTTTTTTCTTTTCGTGTATCTTTATTCTTTATACGAGAATCAAGAATTTTCATTCGTTCTTTGTGTTTAAATAACATATCCTGAAAGTTTTGTTTATCGTATTACAAAATAGGTTTTCGAGTTATTGCATAGCCAAAAAGCCCTTCTATAGGTGTTATACCTGTCTCTGGAAATACCGTTAAAAATTATTCTTCGTTCTATATTCACTAAGGTATTCATACTGTCAGACGATATAATAATAATAATAGTACTTTATTGAGCTAAATACAAACACAGAATAAATAATGAAATAGCAATCAATTAACAAATATACAGGTGTCCCGTTAAGCGTACGGAGCGGCTGTATCTCTAGAACGTTAAGGCCTAGAAGTTTGGAAAAAAAATCCTTATAAGCCAAGTGACCAAGAGAAATAGCTGGAAATTATTTTGAAGTTCGTAATTCGCCCCCTAGGGGGCGTAACTGCCATTGATAAACATGATAGCTTGGATAATACCGCATTGCTTTTGTTTTGCGATATTTTTCATATTTGTCATAATAAGGGAGGGGGAGGCCAATGCGTTTTCATATGTTTACATTTTAATATCTCCTAGACCATTCAACCGATTTGAATATTTTCTGTGTTGTTTGAAAGAACATTTTATGGTCTTTTTAAAGATATTTTCAGTAAGACCGTTTGCTTTAAAACAAATCAGCTAGAGGGCGTTATCTGCAGCGATTACATATTTTTGTGATTTTTGAAGAAAAGTTAAATGGAACGATACTATTTACTTCACATTTACGTCACCTTAAAATTTGCTAAATTTTAGTGAAAACCGCATCTCGATATCGCCACCCGTTCTCGAATTATAGAAGAAAATGTTAAAAACTCGAGTGCCATCAATCGGATCCAGTTACCTCATGGAGAAAAACAAATCACATAACCTTGGTTACTGTAAACATGTCATTTACTAACGCAGAAGCGTATGATAGAGCGTATGATGATTTATTTTCAATGTTTTGAATACGATGCAACTGCATGGCAAAAATGTGCAATGCAATTACGACAAAGAAAGACATTTTTCTCTAGAAGTGTTTTTAAGATTGACTTAGCGATTACGGAAAACTGGCAACGTGTAGCCCATTCAGACATCTCTATGAATTCGTAAATCACATTGGTGCGCAATGCATGGAGTTCACACATAATCTGGGAACTCCGAAAACAATTGTCCACAAGATTCCTCAAGAGAATAATATCTCCACCACGTTGTTTTACATCAGGCCTTAACAGATACCGATTATGATAACAGACTGAACTATTATCATTGACTTTTAAATATGATTTGGAAAAATCCAAACCTTTTATCACAAATGCTATGGATGCATGAAGCATCGGTTCTCAAGCTGGTGTAAACTTGCATAATATGCATTCTTGGTACGAGCAAAACCCACATTGCTTTCACCCCTTTATCTATTGCGTAGACTAAACGACCTGACTTTTCAAGAAAAATCAATAACCAGGGAAAATATGACAAAACTCTAAATACCAGTAGAAACGTGTCCAGGGCCGAGACTTAAGCTTTTAAGTTTTTTTTTGTCGAAACTAGATTAAATAAATGCATTGAGGTTTATGGAAGGCATTTTGCACATTAGTGAGTTATTTTTGCCAAAAATTTAAGTTATTCTAAGTGTTTTGGTTTATTTTGTTTTATTATCATTGTTGATGTTTCATTGATCCGTTAGCTTTTAAACACGCCTCAAAAGTAGTTTTGAAGCAGTTCTAAGCTTGGATAAAGTGTGAAAGAAGGGTCTAGATAATAAAATTTTCTAAGAAAAAATAAATTCCTAAGGTAACTTGATTCGATTAAGATATACGAATTTTTAACATTCTCTTCTATAATTCGAGAATGGATGAAGATATCGAGATGCGGTTTTCACTATTATTTAGCAAATTTTATAGTGATTAAGGGTCTGTGAAGAAAACAGTACCGTTCCATTTAACTTTTTTTCAAAAATCACAAGAATATGTAACCGCTGCAGATAACGCCCTCTAGCTTATTTGTTTTAAACCAAGCGGTCTTACTGAAAATATCTTTTAAAAGAGCATGTAATGCTCTTTCAAACAAGACCAAAAATATTCAAATCGGTTGAATAGTCCAGGAGATATTAAAATATAAACATTTGAAAACGCATTGGCCTCCCCCTCCCTTATTATGACAGATATGAGAAATATCGCAAAACAAAAGCGATGTGGTATTATCCAAGCTACTAAATGATGTTGTCAAAGTTATAGCTCATCGTCTAACTTTCTGAGATAGCGGGAATTTTATGTTTCTCTATTGCAGTTACGCTCCCTAGGGGTCGAATTACGAACTTCAAAATAATTTCCAGCTACTTTGCTTATAAGGATTTTTTTCCCAAACCTCTAGTCCTTACCGTTGTCGAGATACAGCCGCTCCGTACGCTTAGCGGGACATCCTGTATAATTTAAACTCAATGGATGCAAGAGCAGAAAACGCAAAAGTGCCACTGATTTTACCTGCACCCTATAAGGTCAGCAAACATCAAAAGACCGTAATAATAATCGCATTATTACTATAATATAAAATTATTGCTATAAAAATAACTAAATAACTAAAGTAAATAACATATAAACCGTTATAATAGTAAAAAATAAATAAAAAAAAACATTCCAAATAAACACAACAAAAACGAAAATATATCAAACACCCTCTCGCGTAAAACAATGAGTTCGACATACTCTCCCCGAAAGGATATCCATAAAGCGACGTCGATATCGCCTGATGAAAGAACGCACAACCTAATCATTCAAATTTTGTTTGACTCCCAACATAGATCCGATGGTAGACAAGTGAGGACGTTGACTCCGACCAGTACCTCCGCAAAATGACCTACAAACAAAGATTTTGAATGTAGGAATTCATGTTGCGAGATTATTTGAATTAATAGGAAAATGAATATAGATCAACTTCTCACTCGCTTGTTTTATTTACTCGATACTAGTTTCGGCTTATAAAGCCATCATCAGTCGAATCTATGATTAAAAAGAATTACAAATTTGTTTTTTCGTTTTAAATTTTAGTTATTCTGTTTACATATAAGGGTTAATATAAAAACCTTTATGACATTTCACGTTCTAAGAAGAAAAACAAATCTTTCAACTTGACTGAAAGTATTTTATATAAAAAACAAAAAATTGTTCAAATTTAAAACTAAAAAAACAAATTTGTAATTCTTTTTAATCATAGATTCGACTGATGATGGCTTTATAAACCGAAACTAGTATCGAGTAAATAAAATAAGTTGATCTATATTCATTTTCCTATTAATTCAAATAATCGCAACATGAATTCCTACATTCAAAATCAAATACATACTTCCAAATTAATTGATGGCTTTACGAAAATCTATATTAGAACAGGAATTATAAAGAACCACATTATTTTCATTAACACTTGCATAAAGGAAAACTTAAATCCATCTTTCGTTAAAATATCTAATAGAAACCTAAAAAAGGAAACAAAATAATTCATCATGGGCAAACTGTTGCGTGATGAAAAACGAAAACACTTCAAAAATCTTAATCATCAATATGAAAAACTGGCGAACATTCATAGAGACCTCAGGTAACTACTCCATCATCTTGAACTAGAGGAACTCATTCAAAATTCCATAACACAGAAAGAAAATAAACTAAAAAATTTACGCAAACACAAGAAGAACAATAACAAAGGACATACAGATAAACATCAAACCATTACACAATACAGTAATCTCACTGGCATTAAATTCATCAGACAGGAAGATGAATTCTTGAACAAATGTTATAAATTTGCAATTGAAAGAAACCATCTAGAAAGGTCCAATATTAAAAATGAGATCATTTCGCTTATTAAAAAGTCAAAAAAGAACATTACGAAGAACATCTCTATCATAAAACAAAATAAAATCATTAAATCGATAAAGAAAAAACTCACCAACAACAATGCTGTATTCGTTAAGGCAGATGAAGGAGCAGGAATTGTAATCATCAATAAGAAGGAATACATCGACAAAACTTTAACATTCATGAGAAACAACAATTATAAAAAGCTTGAAAAGTCTCCACTAAATACCAGTATCAGGATGACTTTTTATTGAATATTAGGTTTGGAGATTCTGGAGATGATAGAAATATATCGGCACAACAATCAAAAAAACACCAAACTACTCAACGACCAACTCGAATTTAAATATATGCCTATATTTACATATTTAAAGTTAACTTATTAATGTTAATTTATTTAAAGTATGTATATTTCTTTTGTAAGCTGTAAGTAATCTGCTGCATGGAATCTTCTATTAGCAACATTTATTCTTGCGTTATATGTATCTAGTCTTCTACCAGCTGAACTTGGGGGGCCCACTTTTATGGTCAAACAAATTTAAATAATAAACTATCCTGTTTTAGAAATTATTTACCA